GCAAGGTCAAGACCCAACAGCACAGGACCGCACTCGACGAGCGCGCTCCACTGCTCGCAAAGTAACTACTCGCAAATGGCCTGGATCCCTCGCGGGGGATCTGCGATAAAAATTACATCAATTACATCACATCAGACATGTGTTTTTCGGACTTTTGCGAGTAGGCACTCTGCGAGTGGTAGAACGCGCTCGGCGACGCACGAACGAACGAGAGACCGACCACCCCTGTGGACGAGACAGCGTCTGGGCCGATTCGGCTGAGACCAGGTGGATGAGGCCGCGGCCTCTGGACTACGCTGCCTGCTGTGTCGCGCGAGGCACAAGAATCGGCGGCGAGCCCAGGAGGAATGCGAGAAGGAGAAGGCCTTCTCAGAAGGCTCGGAGGTCCCATGGCTTCTGAGAAGCGTTCCGAGACTTCCCTGGAATCACAGAAAACTTGTCAGAAGGCCGGAGGCCTTCTGCGAAGCCCCACCGCCTTCTGAGGAGGCCGTCGCCTTCTCGTTCCCCGCCCTCGCTCGCCGCCGAAAGAGTGCCGGGCAGGAGAAGCCAGCCTTCGAAGGCAGCCGAATCCTCGGACGGATCCTGGAGCCCTCGCCCCCAGGGGCGGCGGCCCTCTTGCCTGGCAGCACGCGAGCGAGCGCCCCTCGGGGCCTCTGGGCTCCTGGGGGATTCTGGGGGGCCCTCGGGGCCTTCTTGGGGCTTCATGTAGATTTCCTTGGAGATCTCTTGGGGGCCTCTTGGAGATCTCTTGGGGGCCTCTTGGAGATTTCCTGGGGGCCTCTTGGAGATCTCTTGGGGGCCTAAGGGGGCCTCCTGGGTTTTTGCCTTGGGGTTCGAGGGCTGCTCTGGCCGTGGAGGTCTCCGGGTCTCGGGGGCCCGGCATCGGCTGGCGGCCCACCGACGCTTCGTGACCAAAGGGAGGGGGCCACAGCCCTCCCAGACGGGCAAGTTCAGACCCCCTCCAGACCAGCCACGACCAGGCTTGTGTGTGCAAAGTCAGAGCCATAGTTTCGTCATGCTTGTGTGCGTGTGTGCGTGTGTGGTTTTTATTGGTGCACGCTCCGTCCAATGCGTTTTTGCGTTTTGTTATGCTTGCCTGTGCTTTGTTGTGTGCTTTGTGTTTTTGTGTGTGTTGTTTTGTCCTCTGTTTTGTGCTTTTTGTGTTTTTTTGTGGTTTTGTTCGCGCATGTGCCGCAACGGCTGGACAGTCACGCAGATTTCGGGCCAATGGCCGCCTGTCAGGCGGCCTTTGGCCCGAACCCTCCTGGAAACTTCCACGACCACTTAAATCAAGCCCCAAAAAATCAGACCCCCTCCTTTCTATCATGAAATCTAGAGTACCCTTTTTCCCACGTCAGAGCGAATCCAACTGATCGAGGAGGGAGCAGCACGAGAGGAGTGGGGCAGGGAGGGAAGGGAGAAAAAGGTGGGCCAGAACGACATACCCATGGAAAGGGAACCGAAGGAAACAGAGGAGGGAGGCAGTGAGACGGCGGGGGTGATGGAAACGACATAGGGAAAGGAGAAGGAACCGAACTCAGCTGGAAAAGGACGATGAAGACGAACAGGGGGACGAGCAACCGAAAGAAAAGGTGAAGGACGAGGTCAAAGAGAGGTGCGGCGAAGAACAGAAGGCATGAACATATTGGAACCTGTAAGATGAGGCACACGGGTTGCCCTGGTCTTCAACGTACGATGCCAGTGCTGCCGTGTCCTCCTTTCTTTGCTCAGCTCAGCTCAGGCGGTCCTGTCAGCGAAGGCCACGTGATATGGCTGGCCAATCTTCATCAAGCTAGAACAAGGGTGAACAGCCACTGACAGCAGCACGAGAAGAAGCAGAAGCAGAAAGGATAGGCGGCGGAGGAGCAGAACGACGACGGCATCGACGACTCCATTTAAGACGAAGAGTTGACGCTTGGCCTCATTTGTGACCACATCCTCGAGGTTTGTTTTCCCTACCCCTCCTCCTGATCTTAATTTCCTGTCCCCTTCTATCCCCCCATTTCCCCCACCACATCGATCCATGTGCAGTCACGCCCCGTTCCCCACCTCTCCACCCTTTCCCCCGCTCCCATTACCCTTCCCCCATCCCCCCTCACAAATGATATACTCATCGTCCTCCTCTTCCCTCTTCATTTCCAGTTCATGTTCCTCCTCATCATCATGTCATCCTGCCCCACCAACCTCATCATCATCATCATCATCATCATCATCATCATCATCATCATCATCATCATCCTCATCCTCATCCTCATCATCATCGTCACCATGATCAGCATCGTCATCATCACCATCGTCAGCACCATCATCATCAAAAGCATAATCATCATAGTCAGCATCATGATCATCATCATCAACACAGCAACAACAACAACAGCAACAACAATAACAACAACTACTACACCTACAACAACCATAACAGCAGCAGCGACAACAACAACAACAACAACAGCAGCAGCAACAACAACAACAGCAACAGCAACAACAACAACAACAGCAGCAACAACAACAACAACAACAACAGCAGCGGCAGCAGCAGCAGCAGCAACAACAACAACAACAACCACAACAACAACAACAACAACAACAACAACAACAACAACAACAACAACTACAACATCATCATCAGCATCATCGTCGTCGTCGTCGTTGTCATCATCTTATGTGTGTCCCCCCTCCTCTCGTGATTCCTCCTCTTTCCCCCTCCCCTTGGCCTCCGCCCCCCCTCTTCCTCCACTCCCCCTCCTCGTCCTCCTCCCCCTCCTCCCCCTCCCCCAAAAGGCCCGGGGGCACCCGAGTGGGTCCCCACCACCGTCACCAAGGGGGACCCCCGGGCGTTGGGATGATGGTCCTGGGTCCCTAGGCACAGAACACCACCTGCCGGAAGCAGCCTCTCGAAGAACTGGGGCGCCGCGCCGCCTGGCCTCCCTGGGCCGCCCGAAGAACTGGGGCGCCGCGCCGCCTGGCCTCCCTGGGCCGCCCGCGCGCATAGAGGGGGGGGGGGGGGGGAACCCGTCTGCCCGTAGGCCAGGATGGTGCCGTTGATGCCCGCCAGGCAGTCCCGCAGCGCTGGCAGACCGACGGCCCTGAAGATGTCCTCCTCGCGGGGCGCGCGGCGGCCGCGGCGGGCGGCGGCAGCGGCGGCCGCGGCGGCGCGGCGATGACGCGGCGACGACGCCGCTGACGACGACGACGACGACGACGACGACGACGACGACGACGACGACGACGACGACAACGAAGAGGACGACGACGACGACGACGACGACGACGACGACGGCGACGACGACGACGACAACGACTACTTCGTCATCGCGGCAACGACGCGCGACTGCGGCGGCGACGACGTCGGCACTGCCAGCGGCGGCGCGCTCTGCTGCTGCCGAGCACCAGCTGCTCCGAGGGCCGAGGGAGGTCGCGCCGGAGGGGGGGGGGGAGACCGTGCGAGGGGGAGCGCACGATCCGAGGGCACAGGAAAGCCCTGGACAGGCTTGCGAGGGGGCTCCTCTCTCCAAAGAGAGATGCCTGGCCAGACGAGTCGGGGAAGGTAGATAGGTAGCTACCTCGCGTTCTCTTCCTCGGGGTCCTAGCGTCGGAGCTGGACCCGCCCGCGCGCGTGTTGCGCCCAGAGGGCGAGGAGCAGGGAGGGGAGGGGGAGCGAGGACGAGGACGAGGACGAGGGCGAGGATGCGGATGATGGTGCGGATGGAGACGAGGCCAAGTTATGAAGAGGACTCCACCTCCCCCTCCGACACCCCCTCCCCCGCCGACACCCCCATCCACCCCTCCACCTCGTAGTCCTCCCCAAGCAACTGCTCTGACGCCGTGGAAGGGGACAGCGGCACGGCACCCAAGCGACCGACCCACACCGTGCATGGCATGAGGCATCGTGCTCGTCCGTCCCGCACTATCTGGAACGACACTGCGCGGCAACAAGCGGCCGAGTCCGACCCCGCGCACTGCCTCAGCGCAGCCAAGCGCAGTTCCGTTCCCTCCCCCAATGTCGTCACTCCCTTTCCTTATGGATCTCTCCTCCTTGTCGCACCCCGAGGCCAGCCAGAAAGATGGGCCGGGCGGTTCGCATGAGAACTCCTTACTATTGATCAGCCTGCAGCTTAAAAACTGGCGACGGTTTCACAGATGGAAGGCGGGTCGCTTCAAAATGTAGCTCTTGCCTCAGCCCCGCACACGCTTGTCTTCAAATTTGCCAGAGCTTCATGGATAAAGGGCGGGTGGTTTTCAAAATGTGGCGCTCGCCTTAGCGCCGAGTACCTTCGTTCTAACAATTCGAAGTTCACGACTTGCAGGCGGGTGGTTTTCAAAATGTGGCTCTCGCCTTGGCGCCGCGCACATTATTCCTCAACGTACCAGACATGTTTTGCTGGAACGATTCAAGACTGCCACGGCGCAACAGTTACGTTCATTCGCGGTGTTGAAGTCCCAGGAATGGCATTATGGTGCAATGCAAGATCGTCAAGGCGCAACAGTCAGGGTGTCTCGTGGCGTCGAAGTCATGAAAATGCCTTTCTGGCACGCGTCAGAATTTTCACATGGTTGTCTCCCAACGAGGAACCTCTTTCAGCGTAAAAGAGCCTCGTAGGGGACCTATGAAGTGGGAGCTTGGAGGGAGGGTGAATTCCAACATCGTTGATGAGTCTTGGGTTTCAACTGGTCCTCATCCTCCTCATCATCATCCTCCCTCGTTCTCCTCCTCCTCCTCCTCCTCCTCCTCATCCCCTCCTCTCCATCCAGCACACCTTGGCTCGAGCGAACCCTGGGAGCGAGCCCGAGCCAGACACGCTGCCGCACCGTGCAGGGTGTTTTCGAGCAGAAGGCCGATCCGCACCAGGAGCTGGGATCGGAGCCCAGAGAGCCGCTGAAGCGACAGCTACATGAAGATGCACGCCGAAATGTGCGTCCAGGCCGCTGCCGCCAAGTTGCCAGGCGGCGGGCACTGCTGCATGGACTGCGGATGCGCATCCTGGCCAGTCAGCGCGGCCGCCCAGGCGCCCATCATCGGCGCGATAGTGCAGTACCGGGTGCCCCAGGACGAGCACCCACAGGCCGCACCGCCAGGCGAGCCTCTCTGCCACGGAGGGCGCACGTCGAGGCCGGCTGCTCACGCAGCACATCATGGGCCGGGTCGACACTGGGGAGACGGACGAGGAGCCGCGGCCCCTCGCTGAGGGCGCACAAGCGACGCGGCAGGGCTCCACGCGCGTGCAGCCCCCTGCCGAGCACGGCGCCGCCGGGAACCGGCAGGGCGCGCAGGCCTGCGCGAAGCTCGCCCGCTCCACCGCGGAGGCGCTGGGCCGTGCGGCGCGAGGGCCCGCGCGGCCGCTCGTGTGCGGGCGCGCTCGCCCGGGCGCGGCCGCGGGCACTGCGCCCCACGGCGGTGACTGGCAGGAGGTCGGGCAGCTACGAGGCCGCGCAGCGCGGCAGGCAGCGCGCGCGGGCCTGGCCACGGAGGTCGCAGCCAGGGGGCGCGCGAGCGGGCCCGGCAGAGGCGCCGAGGCGGCCACGTGGGCCATCAGGGGAGGCAGCCGCGCAGTGGTGCTGCAGCGGCATGCGCGCAGGCTGCTGGCTGGACGGGCCTGCGCCGTGGCGCCTGCGGCATCGGCCGCGCCCGCGCCGCCTCCCCCACGGCCCAAGCGGCGGACAGGCAGGCAAATAAGCTGCAGACCTCGGAGGACGACGCCGCGCTGGAGGAGGCGTACCAGGAGCAGCCGCTGGCCTCGGCAGCGGCGGTGATTGCCAAGGAGGCGCACTCGATGGCCTTGACAGAGGCCGACGTGGAGGACGACGTGGCGCAGTTGGACGTGCGCCAGGTGCTGCAGGCGGATGTGGCGGTGAAGACCCTGGATCACTGCTGCCGCCACCAAGAAGAGCATCGCGCTGAAGGAGGCCGCCGAGCTGGTGGTCCAGCTGTCTGCGCGGGCTGTAGGCCGACCCAGCAGCTGGAGCTGCAGCACCTGCGCAACGACGGCGTCCGTGCTGCAAGGGGTGGCGAGGACCTGAAGCCGTGCGTGCAGGTACGGATCGATGAGCTGGCCGCCGACGGCCCGCCCCGAGACCCTGGCGAGGCGTGCGCGTCGCGAGTGTCCTCGCATGGGCTTCATCGCGCCCGCGTTGCCTGCGCCGCAGCCCCCATGTCCGCACTTCCCCAAAGGCGCAGGAGCTCGAGACCTCCGCAAGGCTCTCCCCCGAGGCTGCGTCGTTAACACGAACACGCACCCGGCGGCCAAGCGGCCGCGCGGCGAGGTCGCCGACGCCACGGCCAGCTCGGCACACGCGGGGAGCAGGGAGCTGGGCGAAAGAGAAGAGCTGGCATGAAAAAAACGGGTCCTCAGAGAAACGGGTCCTGGATCCTGGGGTGTCCCCCCAGGACCGGCTCTTTTATCCTGGGCCCTACTTCGTGGGCGCCACCCGCAGCCTCGGGGAATGCCCTCAGGAGCCCGACGGCGGTGCCAAAAGCCTCCAAGGCCCGCTTCCTCTAGGACCCGCTTCCCCCGTGGCGAAGAGACGCCTGGGAACGCAGGTCGCCTCGGGGACCTGGTCGGCACGGTCCTGGGCGTGACCTCGCGCGCGGTGCGCAGGGTGCCCTGCGCGCGGAGAGCCGTGGCGCACAGCTTCCCACCCTGAGAGACGTCGCGAAGGCGTCCTCCTCCTCCTCCTCCTCCTCCTCCTCCTCCTCCTCCTCCTCCTCCTCCTCCTCCTCCTCCTCCGCCTCCTCCGCCTCCTCCTCCTCCTCCTCCTCATCCTCCTCCTCCGCCTCCGCCTCACCCTCCTCCTCCTCCTCCTCCTCCTCCTCCTCCTCCTCCTCCTCCTCCTCCTCCTCCTCCTCCTCCTCCTCCTCCTCCTCCTCCTCCTCCTCCTCCTCCTCCTCCTCCTCCTCCTACCTCCTCCTCCTCCTCCTCCTCCTCCTCCTCCTCCTCCTCCTCCTCCTCCTCCTCCTCCTCCTCCTCCTCCTCCTCCTCCTCCTCCTCCTCCTCCTCCTCCCCCCTCCCCCTCCCCCTCCCCCTCCCCCTCCCCTCCTCCTCCTCCCTCCTCCTCCTCCTCCTCCTCTCCTCTCCTCCTCCTCCTCCTCCTCACTCCTCCTCCTCCTCCTCCTCCTCCTCCTCCTCCTCCTCCTCCTCCTCCTCCTCCTCCTCCTCCTCCTCCTCCTCCCTCCTCCTCCTCCTCCTCCTCCTCCTCCTCCTCCTCCTCCTCCTCCTCCTCCTCCGCCTCCTCCTCCTCCTCCTCCTCTCCTCCTCCTCCTCCTCCTCCTCCTCCTCCTCCTCCTCCTCCTCCCCCCCCTCCCCCTCCCCCTCCCCCTCCCCCTCCCCCTCCCCCTCCCCCTCCCCCCCCCCCATCCCTCCCCCTCCTCCCCTCCTCCTCCCTCCTCCTCCTCCTCCTCCTCCTCCTCCTCCTCCTCCTCCTCCTCCTCCTCCTCCTCCTCCTCCTCCTCCTCCTCCTCCTCCTCCTCCTCCTCCTCTCCTCCTCCTCTCCTCCTCCTCCTCCTCCTCTCTCTCCTCCCTCCTCCTCCGCCTCCTCCTCCTCCTCCTCCTCCTCCTCCTCCTCCCCCTCCCACTCTTCCTCTTGCCAGCGCCGTGGGCAAGACGGCCGCGCGAGGCTGCCCGCCGCCCCGGGTCTGGCCCGGTGGGGCGCGAGGCCCTCGCGCCCGAGGACGGGGAGGGCGCCTCGAGCGGGCCAAGCCGAAGCCCTCAGGGACCCCTCGACCATCCCTGGGGTCGCAGGGCCTGCCGCCCTTCGCCTTCCGCGGCCTCCGCACGGGCGCACGCCGCACCGCGGCTGCCGTGGCCAAGCCGAAGGTGCGCAGGGTGGAGGCCGAGGCGCGCTTGGCCCGCCAGAGTGGAGCGGCAGCGGCAGCGGCAGCGGCAGTGGCAGCTGCCGCGGCAACGGCAGCGGCAGCGGACCGCCTGCGAGGACTGCGGGCCGAAGGCGCCGTCGAAGGCGAACTCGCGCGCCTCCACTAGGCTCGGCGAGGTCATCTCGGGAGCGGTTTCGGGCGGGCCCAGCTCCTGAGCGGGCGGGGAGCGCAGGGGCCGTCACGAAGGTATGACTGCCACGCTCGGCGTCTGCTTCTCGGCGGGGCTCCACGCTGCACACTCCCGTGTGCCGCCCCCCTGAGGGGCAGAGGGTGGAAGGTGGGCGGAGGATGGGAGGGGCGGAGAAGAGAAAGAGCATTGAAAACTTCGGGGCAGGCTGGGCAGGAAGAGAGCGAGGCAGAGGGCGAGAGAGGGAGAGAGGAAGAGGAGGCGGACGAGGGGTGGGGAGGTGGGGAGGAGGAGACGGAGAAGGAGAAGGGAAAGCAAAAGTGGAAGGGGAAGGGGAAGGGGAATGGGAATGGGACGGGAAAGGGAAGGGGAAAGGGGAAAAGGCACGAGGTCCCCCTGTTGCGACTTCACCTCCATGGTTCGCAAACGCGCTGGAGAGGGTAAAACGACTTCGAGCAGCTGAGGCAAGAAGGGCCGAGTCAGCCTTAGCGAGGGTATGACAAGGAGGAAGACTCGTGCAGAACAAGGGGATGACGAGGCAACGTGTTCGACACTGACACCAGAAAGTGAAAGCGGTAGAGGAGCGTTAGGGTGGGACGCTCCTTCTCCCGCTGGGCTCTCTCGATGGCATCACTGCCGACGACGCGCACCAAGTGCCTAGCCTCGTCCAAGTCGACAGCGTTGCAAGGCGCCCCCTCGGCGCTGGCGAAACCCAGCGAAATGAAGCAACACGCGCGGGACAAACGATCACCATGCATGGTGACTTGCAGTCATCGTGCTTGCCAGCAAAACCAAATCCTGCGGACGCAGGGCATCTGCAGACAAGGAGTCCAAGAGAAGTGGATGACATCGGAAGGCGCCGCGACGACGCACGAACGTACCGAGAACATCTATACGGTCCAAAAGATGAAGCAATGCGAGGGCCCCCGGGGTGAGCGCGACCGCTCGCTGGACTCGGCTCACTTGCGGCTGGCTGTGCTCCCTCCACTCTCAAAAGACGTAGTCGCCACTAGCTGCACTGGACCCACGCATCTGTACCGCTCGAGTGGTGTCTCGTCGGCCCGCTCGATGAGACCAGTGCGTGGCCGCTGGGGCTCACGCCGCGAGGGCCACACGTTGGGGCCCTGCACGGGAGAGCACGCGCTCGCCCCCCAACACCAGCCACAAAGAATGATCACACGAGATCCGAAAGGAAACCAGCTGTGTACTGAATGGGCCGCAGCTGGACCAAGAAACAAACGACACCACCCCACCTACGGCCCCACGGGCCGCAGCGTATACCGGAACATCTGGCGTGGGTTTTCGCATGGTATACGCTACGGCCCCCCGTGGGCCGTGGCGCAACATGGAGGGCAGTAGGTGGGGTGGTATCGTCTGTTTTTTGGCCGAGCAGGCATCACAGAGGTCAAGGTCATCTGAACAGTGTGACTCTCGAAGCTGATCCGCTCACGCCGTTCACGAATTACTTTCGACGGTGCCTTGTTGTATCAACCTCTACTTCGACCTCGGTCGAACAATACCTGATTCAGCTCTTTACATCCACAGGTACCTCCACAACCTATACTGCATGTACCTTGCCCATGCGTGCACACACCAACTCGTCGCACCATACAACGCATGGATTTGCCCTGCGTCGCATCTTGTAGTCATGCCTAGTTGCGTGAAACCCACCTTCGCCAAGGATAAAGCAAACGACAAATTAAAACGAGTCCTGATCCGCCTCGTTTGGAGGGCGTACTCGTGCGAAAACACGCACCTCCAGCTCAAGTCAAGCGTACAAAGAGCACATGTTCGCACGCGGCCAGATCAATGACACTGCTTATATCATTCGGCGCACTGGTTGCGCAAATACACATACACGCACGCACAGTCTCGGCGAGGACACCCATCCCGCCTTCACCTAAACCAACTGAGACAACAACACGCGCGTGTCAAGCGTCCGCACCCACGACAGAGTTCAAGCGGGACAACGAAAATCCCACTGCCGACCTGCACCAGCGTCCTCCCAGGCTGCCGCTGATGTATCTCTCAGACTTTCCCAAACTGAAACGATAAAAATCGTCGATGCTTTAGCATCCCCTCTGTCCTTCTAACAACTTCCGCGAACGCCCGCCACCAAACAGAAGTCAGCCTTACATACGCACGCAAGACAACGGAGCCCTTTGATTGGAAAAACTCGAACGCGCTTACACGCTCGATCAAGCTGAGGCCAGCGCAGACACGCATGCAACATTTGACACACGTACACGCGCAGCACACCCATACTGACATCCCAGAAAAGCGCACAAACCATGCAGCATAATGAAAGACCACTAAAGAAGGAACTACGAATTCGACACCATATTCGCTTGATAGAAACAACAAGCAAAACCGACAAAACTGTACCAACGGTCATATGGACGTGGAAAGTGACCACGCGTAACGACAAATATGAACGAAGTAATGGATCTGACCCTGCTGCAGTTCTGCAAAGTACCGTCTCCATCGGCGACATCATGAGACACCTTTGAAAATAGCATCAAATAGTTATCACAATCACCAACTGTACCATCCACAAACAAAGAACCATCGACTCTGACAACCGCGAGCAACACATGCACTTCGGAAACTGACACAACAAAGATGGTATAGCTGCCAACTACCAGGTTCTGCAAAAAATCGAAGGCACTATCAATCGAGACCCATCCCACATGCGGCCCCCTTCCTGGCAGTGACCTTCTTACCTGCTTCCGCTCACGTGCAGTGGCGCAACAGTCAATGAGATGGAGTACGCAACAAGAAGAATGGGACGGCGGCGACGGTGACAACTTATCCCCCATAGCACTGTCACAGTCTCAATCGACAACGACAACACACTGGAGCAAGCATGACACCAGGACCGATTAAGACCAAACTGTCCGCATCAATATGGTGATTGTCGTCCACGGCGTCATCGTATTCGCAACTGCTTTCATAATCGCCAATAGCACCGACATCATTGTCGCTGTGAACCTGCGCATCACTCATCAGTGCCACAATTCATTCTAAGAACTGATTGGAAAAATGGTTGACCTTTGTGTCCGTATAACTTCGGTCGCGGCGAAGACCTTTCATTCCGTGAATCGCCCTGCGAACTCATGAGCCAAAATGGCTGTGACCAAAGAGGCGTGCGCGTCCCAACATCACGAGACAGCCAAAGCATCAAACAAAGTCCATGAATTCTGCTAAACTGGACGACTAGATCTTCTCGCGAGTACGTACATGCATATGACGGAAGTGCGACCAGCAAGGCAGCACGTGGGGCAATCTTACTACACCACCAAAGCACATAACAGCCTCAACCACAAGGAACCCTTCCCTTCCACCCAACAACCGAAGGTCACGAGAAACCAGGGGACCCTAGTGCCATGAGCAGCCAAAATAACTCTTTGGCCCCACCTCGACAACGAAGACCACAATCGAGGACCATGGCAAGCAACGAGGAGGCCACAGGCGCACGAGCAAACGAATCGACCCTCGAGCCCCACCCTACACGCTGAAACCACGAGCAACCCCATCGGTTCTGAAGCTCCGGCCACGATCACCCGAGGCCTCGAGAACCTCAATCGACCTGACCCCGCGTCACATGCCCGTCCGGGGAGCACCACCCCACTCCAGGGGGAGCCACGAGAAGCCGAATCGACTCTCGGGCCTCGCCCGACGCACGAGGGCCACGAGCACCCGGATCGACCCCCTTTTGCTGCCCCGCTTCAAAAACGAGGGCCGCGAGGGCCGACAGGCACGGCAAGGCCAGGAGCAGACGAGTCGAGCCAGAGGCCTGCCACGCACGCAGGGGGGGCCGCGAGGCCACGAACGACCGAGCCTCTCGCGAAACTAGGGGGCCACATGCGAACCCTACCCCTACCCCCCACGACGTCTGAGGGGGAGGGTGGGGTTCACTTCGCTCGAGAGCTCCCGAACGAAGTGAAACCCAACCCCCCCCCCTCAGAAATCGTAGGGGGTAGTGGTAGGGATCGCATGTGGCCCCCTAGAAACACCACTCCACATACGCACAGGGCCACGGGTAGCTGAATCGGCCCTCCAGCAGCCGCAAGGCCACGAGGAGCCACGATCAACAAAATCGGCCGTCCGAGAACATCAGGGGCCAGGGAGCCACGGGCAGTCGAATCGACCTTGGAAGCTCATCGAGCACACCTGGAACCACGAGGTGCCACAGAACGCCACCAGGGCCACGGGGCGCAGTCTGCGGCGCTACCGACCGCACGACGTTCAGAAAGCAGACGGCCGAAAACGAAAGATTTTTTGCACGACCAGCGGCAAAATGGTACGAGGCCAACGTCTCAATTGAAACTATGATGCAATCCAGGGCAACAGCGTTTCAAATGCTTGCGGTTGGGAGTGTGCCGTTATGGCGTCCAGGGGCACAGCGTTCTGCGTCACTTAAAGGGGGCTGCTTCAAGCTTCAACGGCATCCGCAGAGCGTTTTCACCTTCGGCGACCTTCGGGACAATCAGTGTTATTGACAAGACGTTTCGAGTTTCGGCGAACCTGAGCGAAACAGATGTGATACCATCGGTCGCGCAGCCCAGTGGAGGCAGCAACAGCCACAGCTGTGGCGACACTGATCGTTGACCTTACACAACGCGGGTTGAAATGCATTGCTGTTCGGCACCTGTACTTCTGTACATGGGGTTGTGCGCAAAATGTCAATGATAAAATGCTTGGGAAAGGGAAGGATTCGATCATGCAAGTTGATTGAATAGTGTTATCCCCCGATATGCTCATCTTGAAATATTCCCACCCATTCGTTTCTGAACTCCTTTACTCCTCACCCCTCTTCTGTTTTCTCTCCTTCGTAGACGTAACGGCTTGTTCCGAATCGATACATTGTTCGGTCCTCGTTTTGAAGAGACAGCGCCTCGCGTTCGCTCCTCCTCTCCTCTTCTATTCCTTCCCCTCATCCCGCCTCCTCCTCCTTGCCTCTGCCCTCCGCATGCCCTCACACGTCGGCACATCCCTCACACGTTTCGTGGCTCCATAGCGAACTCCTCCGAAGACCCCAGTGAAGGGCTCGCATTTCGCCACCGCACCCATGTTGGCACACCCTTCACGCAGCTCCACCGAAAGCCTCAATTGCAGGGTTCGCATGGCGCCACCGTATCCATTTCGGCACACCTCTCACACGCTCCGTGGCCCCGTAAGGAGCTCCTCAAGGAGCAGGCCCCAGTGACAGGGTTCGCACGGCTCCACCACGCCCATGCCAGCACACACCTCACACGTTTCGTGGCCCCATGGCGAGCTCCACCGAACGCCCCAATGGCAGGGTTCGCATGCGCCACCACTCCAATTTCGGTCCTCCCCTCACACGTGTGGCGGCCCCGCAGGAGCCCCACCGAATGCCACAGCGGCAGAGTTCGAATGGCGCCGCCGCACCCATGTCGGCACACACCTCACACGCTTCGTGGCCCCATAGCGAGCTCCACCGAAGACCCCAGTGGCAGGGTTCGATCCACGCCACCGCACCCATTTCGGCATACCCCTCACGCGTTTCGTGGCCCCATAGGGAGCTCCACCGAACGTGGCGGTCGGAACTCAATTTTCGCAATTGCATGTGGCTGGTTCCTTCGACAAGATACCCTTTAGGCACAGTGTCTCATGTATGTCGCGTTCGGTTTCGCCCCCGCGGCTGCAGGACAAAAGGTGCTCAATGACGTCGTGCAGGCCACAAGCGCACTGAAATTCCTGAACCATTCTTCGCTTGCTCGTGCGCCCCGATTCGCCTGACAGCGTTTGCATTTTGGGCATCTTACTTGTTTGTCTAAAGAAGCTTGGCCAAAGTGTTGGTCTGGCGGTTTCGTTCTCGCCGCCCCCGCCCCATCGCCGCCGTGTTTGGGCATGGGTGTTGGTCTGGCAGTTCCGTTTTCGCCGTCGCATCCCCGTCGCCGCTTCGTCGCTGTTTCGTCTGGGACTGCGGGCCCGTCTGGCGGCTACGTTTTCGTCGTCGCCACCCCGACGCCGTATCGCATATATTCTCTTTTCTACAATGGAAACATGGACCACCGCCACCACCACCACCTTTTTCCTCGTTCCCCTTGGGATAGAAGAACTGATATGCGACACTGCCCTGCTGATCAGTTAAACTATGAACCCATACCACCCCACGGAGCACCTTTTTTTTGTCGGGCCCCCTCCTCACCCCTGGAAATCATAATACCCGCACACACTATACGTTTGCGAAAAATGCATTACATGTGCTAGCCATCGTGGACCCCCAACAACGGGTTTATCGTACGCTACGTTGTGCAATATATGTTGTGTTATATACGCGATGTGATCTATGCGGCGCAGCATGCCTCATGCATCCTATGTGGTGCAATCGACGCGGTTGAAAGTTCGCGGACACTAAACGTGGTGCAATATGCATAGCACAGCCGATGCCACAAGCGATCAAAAAGCCCGCCACTGGCGCGCAAAAGAAATCGTCCAACATATGTGCTGCAATCTGTGTTGGGCAATATACGTCGAGAAACCGACATGGCACAGTCTATGCGGCACGAGCCAGCCAACCGAACCTGCACTTGTCAACTGCACTCCTCGCGCGATCACCCCACCCACCCACCCACGCCGTGGTTTGCAAACACATGCGGCGGCGCTGCTCATAACTCCTTGACGCTGGTTGGCGCATTGTTGCGGTCACGCTAGCGCGCGCAGAGTCAGGCGCAGAGCGGCCAACTAATCTAACACAACCGACACGGCCGCAGTGGCGCTGACCACTGGGGACGCCCCAGCACGACTCGCAGGCCGCGTTCAAGCGGGGGCACGTCAGCGCGAGTCCGAACTCGGGCGGGCGCGGTATCACGGCAACGTCGACAACGGCAAACACGATGATGATTGTAGCGATGCTGGTGACGATGATGACGATGACGGCAACGTAAATAATGGTATCCACGCGACTGCGACAATGGTTGTGGAATGACTTCGACATGCGCCCGCGGCCGCGGGGAAGGTCGCGACGGGGAGCGACGGGGAGCGTCGCGACGAGGAGGCCGCGACGAGGGCGGCGGCGACAAGGGGGTCGCGACGGGAGGGGTCGCGACGAAGAACTTGCGACGGGAAAGTCGCGACGAGGGAATCGCAACGAGCGGGGTCGGTCTTGGGGCCGATTGGAGCATATTGGGAGCCATCTTGAGCTCGGGCTATCTGAGCAAATTGGAAGTCATCTCGGGCTCTCTGAAGCCGCTCGGGGGCCTCTTGGGTGCCTCTCGAGCCCCTCTCGGTACCCTCTCGGAACCTCTCGGGGCGCCTTTGGAGCCCTCTCTGGGGCCTTGCGGCAGCCCCGGGGCGCCTCTGGGAGCCATCTTGGAGGCGGTCGGTCAAAAGAAGAGAGGCGCCACGTGTAGTCCCCCCCTCGAGGGCCACGGTCCTCGCGAGGAAGTGCCCAAAATTGGCACTCCCAGGGGCCGCAGAAGGACCCTCTGACACACCGACCCCTCTCCCAAAGAACGTCCGGAAGGGGGGGGAAAGGGCCCCCTCCCCGAGGGAAAGAGGGGTCGTGGAGGAGGAAAGAAATTCCCCGTAGACCACCCATCGTCCACAAGGCTGGCGGGATCGCGGGAATTTGGCGGCCCCCCGCGCGGAGGCAGGGAGCCGCTGCCGGAATGCCTGGGCCCCCACGGGAACCGCCCCACCAGCAGCATACGGGCGACCTCCCCCCGCGGCGACCCCTCCCGCGGCGACCCGACCCTGTCGCCGGCCGCGAAAATCCCCGTTGCTACCCCCCCCCCCCGCGGCGATTCCCCCGTCGCGGCCCCCTCCGTCGCGACCCCCCCGTCGCCGCAATTTCCGGCGCTCCAAGACGGCTCGAGATGGACGCGGAGCCTCTCAAGCCCCTTCTCGCCGTTTGACTATGCGCGCCCCTGTCTCTATCCCCCTGCGAACTCCCACGCGCGTCGCTTGGATGAGCTAGCGGGGGGCTTCTTCTCCGCGCGCAGGCGCGCGATACGAGCCAAACGCAGGGCAAGCAAGGGCAGGCTACGCCACCCGCGAAAAAGAAAAAAAGAACGGCGAGCAAGGGCGAGGCGGAACTCATCGCGG